GATGATCTCCTGAGGTCCCTTCCAACCCCCACCAGTCTGGGATTCTGGTCTAGAAGACCAATAGCACCAGCTGAGTTTGGGAAGGGACCTCACAAATGTTTTCTCCTGTCTCAGCAGAACAGGGAACAGTTCAGCACAGACAACTGCGAGAGCCCGGACTGACATCGGCTGCTCCAGAGGCTGCGGTGCCTGGGAACCCAAGGATGTGGATTTACTGGTGTGGGGAGGGGACAGGACAGTCCCTGCTGGTGACCTGGATGTGGGCTGTTTTTCTGAACTGTGGATTTAAAAATTTTCTAAAGAAAACTGGAGTGAGAACCACAGCAGCATGAAATGGTTAAAACCCACCTGGCTGGGGGGCAAAGAGTCTGTAAATCAAACAAAGCCCCAGTTTCATCCTGGATTTGTATTTTAGCTCTCACCAAGTGCACGTTTGTTTGTGTTCATCTATGTGTGTATTTATTTAGTGCTTTTCTATAAGTACCTGTGAATGTACAACATCATTTTTATAGATTCTTGGATAATTTTTATAGATTCAAGCATCCCATTCAGGAAAAAAACCCTAAAACTCCAATAAATTTTGTCCATAAATGTTTAATGGGTGCTATGTACAGATGTTAATATTTGCTTTGCTCCAGCTGTTTTGGGCTTCTCCTTTCAAGCCAGATGCCAAGTGGCACAAAGGGAATCTCACAGCAGACACACTATGAGCTCCTGCTCTTTTTCCCCATTTCTAGCCATTCCCTTGCCAGCAGAAGGAGATTTATGAGCCAAAGCAGCTTGATCTGACACCAAGAACTGGGTAAAGCTTGTTCCCAAGTGGTGCAGGAGCTGCTCTCGCTGTCGCTCCCTCGAGGATCGAGGGGATTTATGGCTGCTGGGGTCTCACCTACGAGGCCTCTAAGAAGATGTGAAATGTCAAAATGATTAAACCTCAGTCGCTGGGAGTGTGCCCAGCTAATCTTTGCCCAGACTCCTAAGCAGGGCTGTGGATTAAGGCAGCTCAGGGCTGGGGTGATTGCCAGCACTCAGTGTGGTGGCACCAGCAGGAGCATCTCCTTTGTTAGGGTCACACCCAGCCTGGGGTGAAGGGGACAAAATTTTAGGTCTTGCAGTGTGCAAGAGGTGGGATGGTCTACTGAGGTGATGGTGGTGGCACAACCCTGTGGGTCTGGGTCAGTGCTGTGCATGGGGTGACAATCCCCTGTGGGCCACCGGTGACAGCCCGTGTCTGCCCAGCACCTCCTCTCCTGCAGGATCCGATCTTTTCACTCCTTGTAAAACTCAAAAGTAAAACCCAACGAGGAAGCAGAGTCCTTGTAAGCAGGACGCAGCCCTTCTCCACACAGATCAACACCTCCTGTTTGCAAAGTCTTTCAGGAAACACTTGATAGAGACACAGAGGGTTGAAGCCCCAAGGAGGGGGGACACCTTGCAGGGGCTCCATCTAGTTCAGCCCAGGGTGCTCAGGACTGTGAAAAACATCAAACCCTCTCCTGGGTCCTGTGTTTCCTTTTGGCTGGGAACCAAACTGGGACACTTTTACTTCAGGAGAAACTGAAACCACCCTGACCTGTTTGCACCCCCTCCCCGTGCTCCTGTCCCCTGCCCGGAGCCCTGGGGACTGTGCCAGGGCTGTGGCCGGGCAGGGTGAGCTGGTGTTGGGGACGTGGTGGGAAGATCACACCATGTCCCTATTTATTTTGCATCAGAGCTCACACGGTGCCAGGTGTGGGCTGGGATTTGCATGGGGCAGAAGAGGGTTTTGTCTCCTCGCTGACTTTCTGGAGGACATCATCTTCCCTCAGCACGTGGGACACACCTGCCAGGCAAAATATTGGTGAGAAAAACGACTTGTCTCTCCCATTCCCTTCTCCTGTGCTTTCCTGAACCAAATATCCTCCTTCTGTGGTCGCTGGACCTTTCCCCACCCATCGTGGTGATGGTACCAGGGAAACAAGGAGAAAAACCTGCACAACCCATTGCAGAAGGAGCTCCTGGACCCAAATAATCCAACCCAAAGCAGGGATGCTGCTCCAGCCCAGCACGGTGGGGTTAGCGCAGCACCTGGGGACTGGTGGCTCTCAGAGCCCAGGTTCCTTCTCATGAGTGACTCCAGTGTCTTGTTTTAATCTCTTGGTTATAAATTTGACACCCTGACTGCCTGTGGCCACGGAAGATATTAAGAAGGTATTAAAGAAAGGCAAGTTATCAGCCCTGGGGTTTTGATCGGTTTCCAACTCTGGGTATTACCTTCATCCTTCCTTAAACACCGTGGTGGCTTCCAAGAGCTAAGGCAATCGCCTCGCCTGAAAATCCCTGGGATCATGGACACCAGCCATCTGGGCACTGATCCTGCCCGGGCAGAAAGCAGCCCCACACCCTGCACAGCCCCCTGCCCAATGCAAACCTGGGGGGCTTCTCCTGAAAGCATCTCAGGTTGCTTCTGAGATCTTGTGTCTCCAAAATCTTTAGTCCCGGCTAATCCTGCTTTGTGGAATGGCAGGTGGGGGAGGGTGGCTTAGAAAATCAACTCAGCACTTAATGAGCCAATTAATGCCAAATTCGCTGTCACTAAGAGGATGATGACAAGGTTTCATCTCACGGGAGCGTGGCACCAGGCCACGAAGGATGCTGTCCCTTGGGATGCTGTCCCAGGGCCTCAGTTGCAGCAGCAAAGGGTGCAGATTTTCATGTACCCCCTGCCTTGAGAAGCCCCCCAGGATTCATCACAGGTCAGGGAATATGTGGGAAACGTTGTGATGTAGCTGTGCACCCCCTCGCCTGTGCCCCCAGGGTGTGTCCCCAAGCTGTGCAGCTGGGATTTGTTAGGAGAAGAATGTTGATAACATGCTGATATTTTCAATTGTTCCTGGAAGCTGAAGGACTTTGTGTTTGTCCGTCTGCAAGCGCAAGATCTCAGGGGGGAGGAATATTGCCATGGATCAGCTCCATGGGCATTGGGCTCTGCCAAGGGGCTGTTCCATCTCCTGTCCCCCATGGGCAGGAGATCCATGAGGGGCTCTTCCTCTCTTGCTCTCTCTGGCTTTGGCTCGGGCTCTGGCTCTCCCGGGATTGCGGTTTCGGGTCGGGATTGTGGCTCCTGCGGGATCGTGATCTGGGAACGGGCCGGGCTTGGTGGGCGGGTGGTGACAATGGCACTGGGTGTCACTCATTTGTGTATTTTATTACTATTATTATTATCACTATTATTTCAATATCATTATTATTATCATTATTATTTTATTTCAGTTATTAAATTGTTCTTCTCTCCCCCTATGAGTCTCCTTATCCTTGTTCCCCAATTCTCTCCCCTGTCCCCTGGGGTGGGGGACTGTTCAGCTGCCAGCCCAGTGCTGGCCCAGTGACACCACCACACCTGGCCAGGCTGGTTCACCTGCAGGAGGAATGAGAGCTCTGTCCTTCAGCCTGTCACTGTGCACGTGCCCATGTTATGTACATACATAACCTTGTGTGTAACATGTGTCATACTCGTTATATAGTGCACACGCTACATGTATTTGGACAACACAAGCAACACAGTATTTAGTAATATTTAATAAATACATCTGCTCGAAGCAGGGATTTTTATTCTGTATGTTGGCAGCAGCATGAGGTTCTTAAGGCTGAAAAGACTAAAAAAATCTACTGAATGTCTCCTTATTTTTTTAACTATCACCCAGCCAATGCAGACAGCCCAAAGGCAGTTTGACTTTCAGAGAATCGTTTGGTTGGAAAAGACCTTTGAGATCATCAATTCCAACTTCACCTTTATTTTTTTTTAACTTTGATTTTTGATTTGGATTTTGGGTCAGTAATCCCAGCTTTGGGGAACATGGTGCTGCCATGAAGCATCTCTCTGGGGCCTTATAGAGCACAGTGCTGGGGGAGGAAGGGAAAAGCAAACCCAGTTCCTTATTTTTCCTCCCTCAAAGGATATCCAAGAGTCAGGTAAGGATAAAATCCTTCCCACAGAGAGCAAGTATAGGCAATATTTCCAAACCTAAGCCAGTGTAATGTGGTGCAACCAACCTCTTGTGTAACACCCTCTGGCTTTTAAGTGTCTTACACAAGCCTTTACTCACTCCCTACTGAGCTGTGCCTAAGCCAGGATTGCTGGAGAATCCTCTTTAGGAAAACACCCTTCAGAAAGAAAGCACAAAGCAAAGAGGAAATTGTTGCACAGGGGTTTCCAAGTGTGATGGGCACAGGAATGAAGGGATCATCTCCAGGAGGGTTCCTAGAGCACGTCAGACCACTTGGTATAAAAACTGAGCCTTGATTCAGCCCCGAGCGTTTGAGCTGGTGGTGGTTGAGGATTACAAGAGCTGTTTAGATCAGAGGAAAAATTCTGTTTTTAGCACAGGCAGCAATTAAAATAGCTCGTGAATCTAAACACCTCGAGGAGCTGTTATAAAAGGAGGTAGAAAAAACCCATCTTCTGGATTCCTCTGCAGCCAGAAATGAGCCTGGAGAAAGCAAAGGAGAAAAGAGCTTGAGGTTCACCTGGTGAAAAAGGACAACGCGAGACATCGAGCTGGATATGCCAATTTGATCTCGAGATGGTTGAGGAGGATCTCAAGGGGTCCAGAACCCCTTTTGCACTCTCCTTTTCAGGCAGTGGCTTTCTTGCCCTGTACCAGGTCGGGGTGGTGCAGTCCCTCCTGGAGCTGGCTCCCGAACTCCTCAAGTCCGCGTGCAAGGTCTACGGGTCATCCGCTGGCTCCATCATCGCCGCTGCCGTGGTGTGTGGCATCAGCCTCGGTAAGACAATTATTGCCTGGATTTCCTTACCATAGAATATTTATTTCAAAATCGAAATAGAGAAGCTAATGTCTTAAAGCACCGGTGGGAATGGGTAGTGGTGGAGTCCCCATCCCTGGAGGGATTGAAGAGTTGTGTAGACATAGTGCTGAGGGACATGGGTTACTCACAGGGGACTTGTCAGTGTTGGGTTCATGGTTGGACTCGATGAGCTTAAAGGGCTTTTCCAATCCAGGCAATTTTGGGATTCTGGGAATGTGATCCTGGTGTAACTCACATCACTCACAGGGCATGAAAGCAATGTGCAGATGTTGACGCTTCTGGCAGCCACCCTGGAGCAATTTTGTAAGCTGAAAAAGCCACTTATGACTCTCTGAATGTTATCTCAGATGGTCTCC